TGTGGCAGCTGTGGAGGTGGCAGCAGCCGCTGCTTGCTGCTGTGCGAGCTTATCCCTGTAAGCTTGCTGTCTTGTCTGTACTACATCAGGCATTACGGCGTCTATCAGGGACAGAGACTCTATCGGCCGACCATCAAACAAGGTACCATCCTGGACGTGGAACATTTCGAGAAAAGAAACATGAAAGAGAAGACATTTAGGGTGAAGCAACTGCAAAGAGCTGTGTAAATTTTCCTCCTCCTCACCTAGTTCATACTGTGAAATATTGCACAGAGAAAGCCGAAATACTGAAAGGAATAATAAAATGCAGGTCCAGGTGATAAGAAGTTATTCGTTAGATTCCAAAATTCTGTCCGGGAAAAGTAATGACCATTATGAAAGAGTTCATACAATGGTAGGAGACTTGGTGCCACATTAGAATGAACACTTCTTTACAACTAAAAACTTTTAAAATAGCTTTGTTGGACTCAAAAATTTCTTGTGATTTGATTCAAGTATTAAAACAAGAAACAGGCCTCAGATATTCTGCCATATAATCATCTCATTTTACTAATGGTGAGATGGAAGCACAATCAGGTTTAAAGACTTGCAGAAGTCACACAGCCAGCCAGTCAATGGCAACGGAGATCTCCTGACACTATTCCTAGTGTGACCTGAGCGAGGACCAACAGCACTACCATCACATCTGGTAGCTTGTTATAAATGGAGAGTCAAACCTACAGAATCGAAATCTCTGAAGGGCTCAGGAATCTATGTCTTAACAAGCTCTCTAGGGCGCACTACCATTTGAGAAGTACCATCATAACTCGAGACTGTGCTCTTTAATTTTATGGAGTTGCCGTAATTTTCCAAAGCTCCTCTCATTGATATTAGGAAGCTCACAATTAATAAAAAGTTCTCCAGCAGGCACAAGGAGATAGAACAAGTCAGAAATAGAAACTGGGCAAATGAGCTAGGAATATGCATGTGTAAGGCCCAATTCACGTAAGCTGGTAGATACCACAGTGGGGTGATGGGTGCTCTGAGTTACAAAAACATGGCACATCTTTCTGAGTTGTCAAATGTAAGGAGTATCTGAGGAGTAGGAGAATTTATTTTAAGTAACTTAAAAATATTAATACCAACAGATACATTGTAGAGTACTATATTAAATCTATAAGACATTTATTTTTCAGATACCATGAGACTAATTCTGGCCACTGATGGAAACTGTTTCTCACCCTCTGCAGTAAAAGATACTCTGGGACAGAAAGTACTAAATGTCAACGAGGACACAATATTAGTGGATTTTTCCATTTTGAAGAGGAGGAAACTAAAAAATAATGAAGCCAGAATTAGTATACTATATTTATAGTAATAAATAATATATAAATAATAAATAAAACCACGGATGCTTGTTTTAAAAATACTTGCAAAAGGAAAGGGGAGCCATGTTAATCTGTGAAATGAAAATAACATAAAGAGCCCCACATGTTATAATTCCTGACCATATATGAAATTTTTTAGCTAGACCAGGGTCTGCAAACTTTGTCTTTGAAAGGACAAACAGTAAATTATCTTAGGCTTTGCAGAACATAAGGTCTCTGTCACTATTATTCAATTCTGCCACTGTAGCGCCAAAGTAGCCAAAACAATATATAAGTGAATGAGTGTGGCTGTGTTCCAGGCAAGCAGGCAGGATTTGACTCATGGGTCATAGTTGGCTGACACCTGAATTAAACTACCTATATATGGACCTTATTAGATAGGCAAAAGTATCAAGAGTTGGCTTCAATTATAAACTGCCTTCCAAAATCAGGTATAACCAAATAACCTGAGGTTTTTTAATTTTTCAGACCGTCAATTGTGGTCTCAGCATTTCACAGCACAATGTTGTTGTTTTAAAGAAAATTATTTCTTCTTATTTACTTATAAAACCAAAGAAAGGGAAATAAACTAGAACTAATGGTTCTTATAGTTCGGAGTCAACAGGCCTTGGCTGTTCAACCTGTGACATAAGGAACACCACCCTTCAATTCTGTTAACCTGGTGAAGCTGAAATCAGATAATGAATGAACAAACAAGATAGCAGATTTAAGGACAAATTAAAGAGTAAGAGTATTTGAAATAAATTTTCCTTACCTCATTAATACTAACTTCTGCCTCTACATACTGTAGACCTTTCTGGATGATCGAAATCAATGCAGCAGGTGGGACGAGGGCACCATTGATGTTAGACTGACTGATATGGCTTTCTATACCAAAGGTAAACGCTGAATGAGAAAATCCTAAAAGCAGAAGAAAAGGTGTAAGAATTTATTCTCCTAGTGGCAACATTCTATAGGACACAAATGAAAGACCTCTGTAATCTTTCAAAATTGCAACCCATCCATCTGGAATCCCAGACTGTTAGCTAAGGTTAAATATGTTTTTAAACAAAAGAAATACCAAACTCCAAACATATTAACTTTTACATATTTTCCTTTTCACTTTAATTACATAAAGTATGATATAAAATCTCTAGTACATATAAAATTTAGCCATGGCACATAACTATCCTCAAAGAATAGCACTGAACTTTAAAGCTGGGCCGGGGCAGCGGAATGTGGGGTAGTCTTTGGAAATCATGTGAGTCGATTGCTTCACTAAAGATAATTTAGGCCAAGATAAATTAAGGTGACATTTGATATTTCTGTCAAACACAATATAAATCCAATATTTTGCAGGTTTTTTTTTAACTTAGGAAATAAAAAGCAAACTAGAGTTATAAAACATGAAAATTTTTATGCTTAAATCTCACTGTATGTATGAGTTAAATGCAAAAAAAAAAAATTACTAATTCTTTGCCACTTAGTGATAACCCATCTAAATGAAAGCTAGCAAGTAAATCACCAGTTTCTATCAGCAATTCTTTAGTTTTAATTCAAAATACTTAAACCCAAAATATGTAATAAAAATCTCTTTATGTCGGTCTCGCTTTTTATAAAAGTTAAGTCTAAACTCAAAGATTAAATTCTAGTAAAATGATAAATGCATGTGCACTTATTCTCTTTACTAAAACATCCACCAGAGCTTATCATTAAATAGTAACTGTCATTAATGTATTTTAAACAATTCAATCACATTATATATATAATACGAATGTTAAGAAACTTTCATGCTAAGTAAACTAAATGAATATGGGCTTACTTGTGTCTTAAATGGATTTAACCCATGTAATAACTATCCCAGTCTATCCTAGTTTTTTAGTGCTGACTCTGTGTCTTGTGCATTTTGTGCTTCCACTTAATTTAGGGTTCTGTGGCACTTATGAACAGTCTAGAATAAAGTACTATGGACTCACACAAAGCTAGGAAAGATTTTAGTCAGTAGACAAAGTACACCTAAGTTGGTTTTCCTCATGGCTCCTTCCTCCCCTCTTGGAAACACCTGGCCATTCCACTCCTGCAACCCACAGTGAGAAGTGAAAAGACATTCCTTCTAAGTCTTTGATTTTAACTCATGATTTTGCCTACAAGCACAATCATTATTAAACACATTTATGGTTTTCAGCTTAATCTGAGCTCACAGAGATTTCTAAGAAACATAGTAATGAAACTAAGAAACATATCAACGAAAAAGAGCATCATTCTGCATTGCCCCTATCAGGAAACCCATAACTACTTGAAAATGAGTAAATTCCAGATTGCCAGGGTAGAAGGCTAATAAAGGCTGGGAAGGATGGGGAGAGACGGTAAAAGATAAGGCAGTGAAATCCATAAGCAGTGAGGCTGCAGAGTCCTGTTTTCAATTATATGCCCTTCCCTAAATAAATTTTGCAGTAAGTCATAAATGGGGAAAAAAAGCTAAACAGCCAAGTGGCTTAGAGATTTACAAAGACTTCAAGATGGACAATATCATTCATGGAGGGTCTCCACCATGCACACATATATAGTTTTATTATTTTATAATCTGAGCTTACAGATGGGAAAATAGCCACTAACAGGATAAGGATTTACTTTTTTAAGTTTTTATTTAAATTCCAGTTAGTTTTTTTTTTTTAACTTTTTTTAAGATTTTATTTATTTATTCATGAGAGACACAGAGAGAGAGAGAGAGAAGCAGAGGGAGAAGCAGGCTTCCCTTGGAGCAGGGAGCCCGATGCGGGACTCGATCCCAGGACCCTGGGATCATGACCTGAGCCGAAGGCAGACGCTCAACCATCTGAGCCACCCAGGCGCCCTAAATTCCAGTTAGTTAACACACAGTGTAATATTAGTTTTAGGTGCACAATTTAGTGATTCAACATCATACAACAGCCGGTGCTCATCACAAGTGCGCTCCTTAGTCCCCATCACCTATTTAACCCATCCCCCCACCCACCTCCCCTCCAGTAACCCTCCATTTGTTCTCTATACGTAAGAGTCTGTTTCATGGTTTGTCTCCTTCCCTTCCTATGTTCATCTGTTTTGTTTCTTAAATTCCACATATGAGTGAAATCATACAGTATTTGTCTTTTGCTGACTTATTTCGCTCCATCCATGGTGTTGTAAATGGCAGGATTTCATTTTTTTATGGCTGAGTAATATTCCATTGTGTATATATACCACATTATCTTTAAGAGGATAAGGATTTAAATTCATTCAGAGACCATGGAGGTGACCACTACATTCCGTTGCTCCTACTGAACAATTAAGTTAAAATATGGTCAAGGATAAAGCTAAGACAGAGTGAGCTCCTGTTTACTGATAGAAAATGAAGGATTACATCACTGTTCTGTTTCAACTCAGGGTGTTCAAAAGAGGTGTCAGTAGTGCGTGAAACATTAAGACATCTTATTAGCAACGTTTTTCAAGTGTTTTGATTTTCGTAAGACTCACAAATTTTAGCAAAGTCCAGGACTTCTGTACCCTCTAATTCATGAGTACAATTTAAATAATCAAAACCATCACATTTAGACCCTGTTAAATTAGAGTTCATGCTTATATCCAAGAATATCCTAAAAGTTGCAGGCGGAACAATGTCGATTTTGGGCTGGCATGGTGTATATCCCAAATTTGTTCTACCAGACCAGGAGAGAAGCTATCCCAGGTGCTTACATCCATCTCAAATAGTAAAAAAAAACTCTGAAAGGGTTATTAGCACTGTCTGGACACTTCACACTAATGTCCACCCTAAAACAGGTCCACAATTAAAAACACTCTGCTTCAATAAATGTTGAATTCAACTGTAATTTTTAAATTTCTAGTCATAGCATTACATGGCAGCTTAAAATCATTATATTCAAAACTACTTTTCTTGGGATGCCTAGGTGGCTCAGTCGTTAAGCTTCTGCCTTCAGCTCAGGTCATGATCCCAGGGTCCTAGGATCGAGTCCCGCATTGGGCTCCCTGCTCCGCGGGAAGCCTGCTTCTCCCTCTCCCTCTCCCTCTGGTTGTGTTCCCTTCTCTCGCTGTGTCTCTGTCAAAATAAATAAATAAAATCTTTAAAAAAAAAAAACAAAAACACAACTACTTTTCTTATTCCCCTCCCTAAAACTTCGTTTTCCTTAGAAATCTGACCTTACTTCATTACACCTGAAAGTCATCCTAACTTTACCTTGGTCCCTAGTGCTCCACCATTCACCAAATCCTATCAATCCTACCTCTCTGGTCTCTGTCATCAGCTTTCCTTTTCTGCTAGAACCTGGTTTAGTCCCCATCATCCATTGCCTACAATTACTACCCTAAGTTCCTCTTTCCCCAGCTCAGTCCATTTGCCACACTACAGCTAGGGCATTATCCGTGAAACAAAACCAATCACATCACTCCTTACTTGGGCACTTTCAATGATCCCTTTGGCCTTCCTAATAAAGGCCAAACTTCTAAGTATGACACACAGTTACCTTTGTAATCTGACCCTACTTATCTCTCCAGACTCATCTCCCCAATTCCATGCCCCCTACCCTTCTTCCCATTACACATTAAATTCAAATGATTGCCAATTATATGTAGCACCGTGAATATGCTATGCTATCTCATGCTTTTGTATCTTATGTGTTCCTAAGTTCCTTCCTCCTATTTGAATGGAGGGCAAGTCCCTTCTTTCACTACCCTAGAGGGGGATCTTTCTCTGCTATGTTAATCCTATAGTTTGTTATTATGTACGGTATTTACCACACTGAATGGTTACCTTGTGTGTATGTGTATGATGCTAGACTGGGCTACTTGAAGAAAGAGCTGATGTCTAGTAAATCTTTTCATTCTGGAAACCTAGAATGTTACCTAATTTAACTAATGCTCAATAAACATTTGTTAAATCAGAATGCAATTCTACTATAACGTATTTTGGCACATCAGAAAATCTATGAATCCAAAAATAAAAGCATCTGACTTAACTCTTCCCTAAAAAACATACTAAAACTTGAACCAGGTTATGCCAAAAAACATTTCCATTTATCTGTAAATACATGTGCAGGAAATAGTTTTTCAGGGGCAGCTTTTGATTTACATAGTAGAAGGCAAAAGAGATTCATCTAAATCTGTGAGATGTTAAAGACTGGCTTGATTGCTTAAAATAGCATCCCTTCTTTCCAGGAGTAAGAGCAAATCTGATATAAATAATACCTATGTAATCAAGTACTCTACAAATTCGCTAGGGTGATTAAGATTTGGGAGGTAGAAAAGAGATTCCAGAAAGGAATTAAGGCTAAAAACTACGAAAGTTCAGTATACAGTAACTCAGGAATAAAGACAAGCAGTGGCCAGGGGGGCGTGGTAGCTCAGGAGCCCACGACACCACGCATGGTTCCCACATAAGAAACAAGGTCACAAAACAACTGTTTTCTACATACTGCTTGTTTCAGGGAAGGCGTTCCCTTGGGATGACAGGGGCTGTGTTCTCAAAGAGGTATTAGTCCTCCAGAGCAAGCCAACTCTCCTTTGCAAACAGACTACAGGAACATGAAAATGGGCCTGAACATCACTGCTATGGTACAGGGTGACTGAACAACAGCAACAACACACAAAGCTTAACTATTACCACGACACAGTCCAGGAGGAAAATCTAATAATCCAAGATCCTATTTAAGCTTCAGGTAAAAACAAAAACAAAACAAAACAAAAAACCCAGAAAATTATATCCCTGCTCCCATCACCACAAACTCCCTTGTCCCCAAATCCATTTCCAACTGTGTCCTACAGACGCAGATTTTTGTTTATTCTAAAAAGTTCCATACTTACAGGCTTAAAGATTTTAGAAAAGGTGAAAAGAAGGAGGGGAAAAAAATGCTAGAGGGGATCTTGCATGCTGAAGATTTAGACCCAGTACT